GGGGGGGGGGCCGGGGGGCGGGACCTGTGGGTTTTGGGTGGACCCCCCCACGGGGCCGGGGAGGTGCTGGGAGTCTCTTGGGGGACCAGGGACTCCTGGCTCGGAGGCAAGTGCCCCGACCCACAGCCTGGGCATGGTGTATCCGTGGGGCCTTTCCGAACACCCCAGGGCCCGACTGGACCCGCTGCCCCGGCTCTGCCCCACCAGTTCTGAGCTGCTCCTGTGCTGGTGCCGTGGGGCAGCGTTGGGCTGGGGGGGGCGGCTGAGGACCCATGTCCCCCCTCCCCATGACCACAGCTCCTGGCTCTGCCCCAGACATCCCGGACGAGGCCGCCTGCCAGGCAGCCCTGTGCCACGTGGTGAGCAAACTGCCCCCCGCCAACCGGGACACACTGGCCTTCCTCATGCTGCACCTCCTGAGGTGAGGGCAGGGGGGACCTGGGGGTCCCGGGGGGGCCCTGGGGGTCCTGGGGGGGTGGAGCACATGGCCTGGGGGGGGGGAGGGGGCCTTGGGAAAGGTTCCCCCAACCTGTGGGTTCGGCACGGTTGCCCATTAGGCTCCGTGACACGTGAGTGCCCCCCCATGGGCTGGGGTCCCGAGGGCAGGAGGGGCCTGGTGCCGTGGGGCTCCGGCGGCCGTGGGGCAGCAGTTCCGCTTGGTGACTGTCCAGGCTGAGCGGGTGTCAGAGCTGATCCCCTGGGTGGGGTCCCGTGTGGCTCGGGGTCCCTCTGTTCCCAGGGCCTGGCTCTGGGAGCGAACGTGGGTCTGTCCCTGTCTCTCTGCTGGCTGCCCCACTGCCCTCTCTGGGCCTGTCTCCTGGGGTCGTTCTGCCCAGACCCCGTCCCTGGTTCGGGTCACTCTGCGATTGGGGTTTCCTGGCAGGGTCTAGCGGGTCGAGCATTGTTCGCTTTGCCCAGGGGGCCCTGCCCTGCCCCCCGAGTCGGGCTGCTGCCCTGGGGCCCCAGGCTGGAGGAATGGGCCCTGCTTGCATTGGGGTGAGCTGCTGACCCACTTGTGCTTTGTGGTGAGGGCGAGGGGGGCATTGGCTGCACTGGCTGAGGCTCTGTTGTGGGTGTCAGTGGGCCGGGGGAACTGGCCGGGTCCCGGGAGGGGGGGGGGGCACGGCCCCCTGTCACGGCGGCCCGGACGCCTGGCTTCCCCGCAGGGTCGCTCAGAGCCCCGAGTGCAGGATGGATGAGCTGAACCTGGCCCGCGTCTTCGGGCCCACGCTGGTGGGGCACGGCACGAGCAGCCCCACACCCCTGGCCATTCTGCAGGACACGCCGCAGCAGTGCAAGGTGAGGGACAGGCGCCGGAGGGTGGGAGGGGGCCGCTGTCTGCTCCAGCTCTGCCCCACAGCACCCCCCCTCCTTTCTCCCCCTGCTGCCACCCGGGGGGTCAGACCCACAGGGCTCCCAGGGGCTGGTGCACTGCCAGCCCAAGGGGGGTGGACCAGCTCCATTGTCTGGGGTGGGGGGGGCTGGGTAGAACCCAGGCATCCTGGGGCTGGGCCCAGGTGGGTGCGTCTCAGCGGCTCCCCCTGACCCCCCCAGGTGATGGCTCGTCTCCTGTCGCTGCCCCCCGAGTTCTGGAGGCGCTTCATGGGGATGGAGCTGGAGAACCTGGTGCCCGCGGCTGCGAGCGACCCCCTGGCGCTGAACAAACGGGGTGAGCAGGGGGGGGATCGGGGGGGCTCCCTGCTGGGGACAGCGGGACCGTGGGGGGCAGGGGCCATGCAGCCTGGGGGCCCCCACAGAGCAGGTGTGGGGAGCTCTCGCCCTGGGGGTCACCCTGTGCCCCATCCCCCTGAGCTGTGGCTGCTAGAGGGGCCAGGCCTGGTGCCCCATCCGGGCCCATGGCGCTCTGCTACTCCGACCCCCATCGCCAGACGCGCCCCTCCCCCCCATGACCGGGGGCAGAGCTGCACTCAGCCATGGGGCAGGGCCTTGGCACCAGCTGCTCCTGGAGCTGGGGCGGGGGGGGGCTGCTGCAGGGAGGTTCCCCCCCCCCAGCCCTGGGGCGCAGGCTGAGTCGTGACAACATCAGTGGGGCAGCTCCAGGGCGGGGCTGTCAGGGGCAGAGGGTTGAACCGACTCTTGGTGGCTCGGGGGGGTTCAGGGTGGGCAGGAGGCTGCAAACATCCCCCCCCCCCCCCCCCCCCGGGGTTTTTTTTCCCCCCCCCCCCTCCCCCAGAGCGGCTCTTCCGCCCCCTCTCGTCCCCCGAGATGAACTCGACTCAGCTGAGCCCGACCGGCTGCTGTCTCCCCGACCCTCGGCGGAGCTGCGTGGGCACCACGGGCACAGCCCTGTGAGTGCTGGGGGGGCAGGGTGGGGGGGTGTCACGCCCCTGTGAGTGCTGGGGGGGCAGGGTAGGGGGGGTGTCACGCCCCTGTGAGTGCCGGGGGGATTATTGCTGTACGCAGCAGGGGGGCTGGACCCTTGGGCTGGGCTGGTACGGGGGGGCACCGCTGTACAGCGGGGGGGGGGGGGGGGTGGGGCTCTGCGCTGCGTGGGAGCTGGGGGGGGATTGTCAGTCTCTGGGGAAGCTGTTCCTGCCCTAATCTCTTTTCTCCCCCCCACAGGCAGGCGCTGGGCTCCAGGAAGACGGGCCGGTTCTTCCCCTCCCTGCTGTAGGACTGGACGGCTCCGGCTCCGGCTCCGGCCACGGCTCCGAGGGGGAAGGGACGGGCAGCCCAGGGTGGGGGCGGGGAAAGCGTCTGAGCCTGGGGTGGGACCTGGGGGGCAGGCGCCAGCGCTCGCTGCACAGGGTGCTGGAGGGAACGTGCACCAGAGCTGTGGGTCCCTGCCCCACGGCAGGGGATGCTGGGCCGGGCTGAGCTGGGGGTCTGGCTCCCCCACTCCTGCTGTCCCCATCTGAGCAGCCTGACGAGGGGGCAGCCAGGGAGCTCCCAGCTGTCCC